CTTCATGACTTAAGAGACTTTAGTTAGTTTTGCTAATTTAAAAATGTAAAGGTTATTCTTGATAAAGCTTTTGTTTTCCAAAAACTTCAGAAGAGTTTGCCATTTCATACAGTTTGAAAGACAATGGTTTCATATGTGCATATAATTTGTTGTTTCTAAAGAATCATCATTCCATCATCACATGTGATGCGATCAAGCTAAATGAGTCGTTTGTAGGAAATTTTTATTGGGTGATACAGGCCAAAATAGGGCCACTTCATCACATCTCTTGGTCACACCTCTTGGTGTTCCAACTTCGTTAATTTTTTTAACTAATGATGGTATCAGCATGCGGTTTTCACAGCAGTAATGCTGAGATTGTGTCCTTTTCAAATCCGTAATAAAAAAAAAATTACCAGGGTCGACAACGGACTCATGTAGCTTGATCGCATTACATATTTTAATGCATTAGTCACTGGTCCTTATTCATGATGTAAAAGCAAAATTATTTTGTCTTCACTTTTTTATTGTTTAGACTGACATAACCATGTGTCCCCTTCATTCTTTGAGCAAACGTTAATAAATTAGATATCCAAAAATTTGACGTCTGAATTGTATACTGCTGGCTTAGTCTATGACATCATTATCAGTTACATTTATAGGAATAGGGGTGTAAACATTTTTCATGATACAAATCGTCACCGACACCACGAAGTAACACCCATCTACATACCAGTAAAAACTAGCAATCGGAGAAAACGGCAACTAAAGTTGAACGCCTTCTAAAACAACACTTTGCGTCAAAACGACAGAGTTTTTTCAGTTGGGTTTCTCGTTGTGGACACTTGATGAATTGAATTTATTAAATCTGCTGTTTTTCACTCGTTTGTGTATTAAATAAACAAGAAATAAGAGAAAAAAGATGAGTGTTAGTTCGTGAAACCGAAAAAGCTGCGAAACTGTAAATTTTCGTTTTCACAAAGTAACACTCTTCAATGTATTTAACACGAGGAAAGTGCAACTTCAGGTCAGCGCGCGCGCGCTCATGCAACTTGTTACAAGAAGAGTGTTACTTCGTGAAAACGTTTTTGCTCACTTATGAGCAGAGTGCGCGCCATGCATTGCAATGGAAAATGGAACTTGAGTGTTACTTCGTGAAAACGAAAATTGTCACTTTCGCGCAAAAGTTGCCATAGATACTTAGCGTAATTATAAAAGTAAAGCTCTTGAAGCTTTGAAACTTCGTGCAATGGTAGGCCTTGATGAATAATGTTTAAAAATAAAAAAAACTGAAAATCGAAAAAAATATGCTTTAACACGGTGGAGTGTTACTTCGTGGTGTCGGTGACGAAATGTATTAGTTCGATCAAAACATGATCAAAACTGTATAGTGAAATTGTAAAAATACATAAAATTGTAAATATGTATCCCTATTGAATCTGATAGCGTGTACAACAAGTGGATAATAATCGGCCAAATAGAAAAATTGAGTCTGTTTTTAAATCATCCATAATGAACTCATTTTAGACGCAAGAAACCTTAAGAAGGATTATTGACAGTTTTTCATTTTCTTTGCAAGGTTGAAACCAAAACAACAATGCTCCTTTGGGAGAGTTACTTTTTAAAAGCATTTTTCAAAAACCTAAGTCAAGTCATCAAAAAATATCTCATTTTGCGATTGCATATCAAATTTCTGCATTGCAATTATTCATGCACCGTATAGACACTGTTTACAGTCTTCAAATAATCATGAAAAATCCTTTAGAAATGTGAAAAGGAGAATCACGTGTATAATATACCATACAATGCTGTATTTGGGTTTAAAGATTTCCAAATGGGACTGACAGGAATAACTAACTTATAATGTTGTATATGTTGTATTGTAATGGTGTCATGCATACATTGGCATATACCCTTTGCTATATAAACTTCATACAAAAGTACAAACATGTACATAGGCCATACAGTTCAACATACGATATATATGTTAAATTCATATTTCCGCTTCAGTGTAACACAGAGACTGGAACAGGCCATTGGAAAATCTATTGTTACCAAAAACTGCAAACGAATCTGGAAATTGTATGAACAATAGACATCTGAAAAAGGCATAGAACCAATATTTTAGGGGGGGGGGGGTTTAGAACGGTGGATCCAGATTTGTTCAGGGAGGCGTGCTGAAATGTTGACTGGTTATTTTTTCCAGACACTTAGGCCTCCGAAAATCAATAGGTGTGGGGGGGGGGGGGGGGGCTCATGCCATATTTCCAATGGGGAGCGCCGATAAAATCCTAAAATCATTCACACAATATTAACTAATGCACCCTTGTCACGACTATTTCTTTAGGGGGAGAGTGTTCGCATGTACATGTACATCACAAATCCTTCATTTTGCTAATGCAATTTTTTTTTTTACGAAATTTATTTTTTGGGGGGGGCTAGACAAAATTCGGGGGGGGGGGGGTTGGTATAGCTAAATTCTTTGAAAAACTAACATGATCATGGTTTTGATTTTGATAAACAAAGTAAAGATAGATTTCATGTCCCAAAAATGCTTGACAAGCTAAAATATTAGGAAGAGATGCCAGCAATCCTTTGAATGAAATAAAACACATTTTTAGAACTAATGGCTTGCTAATTTTTCAGTGTCTCAGACTTGGCTAATTGTTGTAAACATGTAACAGTGGATCATGAAGTGTAGACAAAAACTGGACACAGTCCTAATCATACACTGTAGCAGCGTAATCTGATTTAAAAATAACATTGGAAAGTTTTGATTCATTTTTGCGGGGTCAGGGTCAGGTCAACACTGGCTGTTCCTGAGCAAACAATAGATGTTCTGGAAACCTGTGAGAAGTACATCACTTACAATAGATGCTCTCCCTGTGCAGCTGTTTGTCATGATCGACTGTGATCCACCAGCTGCACAATAATTGTAATGACATTTCATTATACACGTATGCGGGTCAGAATAGGACCAATGTGTCTATCCTTTTCAAGAGGATATTGCAAACTTTCCTCAGAAATTCATCAACTCTCTTCAGTCCAGGTAAGTAAAATTGGTCATTTTACATATGTTTCATGGCATTCTGTCAGTGTGGCTTTTTTCTGCAAAGTAGTCAGTGTTTAGTGATAAATGCAGCAAATGTGTTATGGATTTCCATGAAAAAAATCCCTTTGGTCAATTGTCAGTTGTCTTGAGCAAAGAGCAAGGAACAGAAGTCTGTATTTAAAATTAAAAAAAAAAAGAACAGCCAACATTTTCTAAGGCATAGTTGTGGTCAACTCATTACCACTGGCTGTCCAAACCCAAATCGAAAACAAAATATGAAAAAAAGAGCTTGTACACCAAATTCGTCTATGGAATTAATATACATCAATGGTTTTATTACTTTTATGGAACAGATTAAAATCCAAAAGTCCCTGCAACTTTTTCTGACGTTTCCTTTTAACTTGTAACATTTCCTGACAATGGAAACTTTAAAATTACAGTGTCAGCTAGGGCAAATACACATGGGCGTCACCAGGATTTTTTGGGGGTGGGGGGAAAGCCGCCCTCCCCCTCGCCACACCCATGCAACAACCAGTCACACACACATGCAAAGACAAGATGGATACCATATGCCCCTTTGGCTTCGCCAGCAGGACATACAGAATTCTACAGTCACTCACAGCATGGTCACATTATTTTTGAAGGGCCCACGCAATGCACTTTTTTTTTTAAATGCAATCCTTGCAAAATGTACCTTTGGGTCCCATTTTACCTTCCAAATTTCGTTTTGCCATTTTCAAGGGTATTTTGGTGCCTTTTTGGATTTATATGAATTCCTTTGGGGAACCAACCCACCGGGCCGGTTTTTATGTGCAACCTCTATGAGAGAACACGGCGAAAAAATCATTAAAAACAGGCCCTTTTTTCACATCTGTCGCCACCACTTCATTATTCGACAGAGTATACCTGTGTATTCATTTACAAAAGAATTGTTCATCTAAACTAAAAATTAAATTTGCAGTTGCTCATGGCAGCGCGCGGATTCGTTTATTGTACACCTGCTAGGCAGTGCTAGTGTACATACACAGAGCCCGGGAGCTCTTATCTCTATGTGTCCAAGGTAATCTGGCTGTGCGCTTTGGACGGTTTACATGCACCCCATTTACATTTTGACCACAAAGTATTTGATATGTTATGCTAATGCGACTTTCCATATTCATGAGCAAAGTGTGATATCATTTTGGATATTTTGCTGTTGTAAATGTTCTTTTCTTTGGTGATTCGTTGTTGCGTCAGTACATGGCAGTAATATCTCTCAAATGTTTTCAATGAGCAATTGAAAACAATTTGGGGTTCACAATTTGCACAGAAAAACCCTAAACTGAACAGTATTTTCCTGAAATGACATCACAGCAACATTTGTCTGGAAAAGCATGGGCAATTTCAAATGTTTAACCCTAAAAGGGCCGGGCCGCCCCCCCCCCCCCCTCCACATTTTCTGCGATAGCCTATAAAAATTTTTTCGCGACCCAAGCTGTTATGACTTTTTAGCCTCGAGCTTTTGCACATCTTTTGATACCAATAAACATCAAAATCGGACCACGGGTTGCTGCGTAGCGAAAAATTTTCCGGTGCTACGTGCCGTGAAAACGGAATGTTCCCATATAATCCCCCCCCCCCCACCTGAAAGATGGTCAAAATAACCTGGCCTTTTTAGGGTTAAAGAAGTTTACTTTTCGATAAAATTAACAAAAGGGATGTCAAATAGTTTTCATACAAATTTTTAAAGTGTCCATGAAATGCATTTTTCTAGGAACACATTTTGTGCAATTTTCCACCCCTCTTTAATGTATAAAAACTATTTGAAATCCCTTTCAGAGGAGTTAAGTAGTACTTAGATAGAACTGGGAAAACAACATTGCAGAAGGTAAATATGGTCATTTTCTATATTGAATAGAAGTCAACTTTTAATGCTTCCATTCACAGAAGATAAACTTTTCCATTGGAAAAGCATCATCCACTTGTTAAGATGGCATCTAGTGTTACAGCTCAATCAGTGTTGGAGAATATTAGTGTGGATCATCTGGAATGCTCCATCTGCACAAACCGTTTCAGGCAACCCAAACTGTTGGACTGTTTGCATAGTTTTTGCCTGCAATGCATCCAAGAGCTCAGACAGAGCCAAGATCCGAGTGGTACAAAGTTGACATGTCCTCTGTGCAGACGTGAAACCATGTTGAAAGGGTCTGGGGTTGCTGATCTTCCTAATAACTTTGCATTCAGTGCCCTGGTGGAGGAAGTTACAATGCAGGAAAAGCTACTGGAAGGTCAAGGCTCAGACATCAAATGTCAAGCCTGTGATGAGGAGAATCAGGCCACTTCAAGATGCATGAAATGTGATCATTTCCTCTGTCAAGAATGTCAAAAGGCTCATGGGCGTATGACTGTCATGAAATCTCATAAAATCTACACACTGACTCAACTTCGATCAGGGAAGATTGTCTACAAGAGTAAACTAAGAGATGAAGTTCCGAAATGTTGCAAGCATCCAGATCAGAATCTCAATGTCTACTGCAACTCATGTGAGCAAGTCATATGCACAACTTGCTCTGTGCTTTATCATGCACAACACTCACTTACTGGATTACCTGAGGCAGTAGAAAAATGTAAGAAGAAGGTCACAGAAATGGTCAAAAAAAGTGAGAGCATAACAACAGAATTTGGCACCACCATAGAAGAGACTAGCAAATCTTGCAAAGAGCTGGAAACCATGTTTGCCAAAACTCAAAAGAAAATCTCCAAAAAGGCTCAACAGGAGATTAAAAAGCTCCAACAGGAGATAACAAAGCTCAAACAGGAGGTTGCAAAGATCCAAAAGGAGATTACAAAGATCCAAAAGGAAGAAAAGAAACTGTTAAAAGAGACAGACATGATTTATAAAGACCAACTCAAAGCTTTTGAAGCTGTTCACGCAACCAACAGGAAAGAGGTGACACAGACAGAGCACAAGCTGGAGGAGGTCAAACAACTCATGAATCAAGCAAGTTGCTATGAGATTCTTGAACTTCAACAGAAGCTCTTGCATAACCTCAGTGAATTGACAGGGAAACAGCCAGAGCAAGTTCATGACAAGTTGACCTTCATGGACTTTGAAGAAGGTGAGAGGTCACTTGGGAGACTCATTCTGGAGGAAGAGCCACAGGCTGCAGCAAAGCAATCACTAAGACCTGCAAGATCATGTGTGAAGGAGAAATGGGAACTGAAGACTGAAGTCAAGAGCTTCAAACGTGCATTTATAAAACATGTTGCAGCACTCTCTAACAAAACAATCCTTGCACTATCTCAAACAACACCTATCCTTGCAATAGTGCATGGAACGAGTAATACACTATTCACAGTTGCAATTCCCAATAGTCATCAGCAACGAATTCCTATCCCACAAAGGCTACAAATCAATGGCCTCACTAATGATATGAAGTGTATTGCAGTGAGCAAGGATAACAAGCTCCTTGCTCTAGATGGTCGATTAGTCAAGGTCTTCAACAAGCAACATCAGCTCCTCCATCAGTTCACACCAGGTAGAGGGTCAGACAGCAAACCAACATGCCTTGCAGTGGATGACAGCAATCTGATAGCAGTGGGATATGAAGGCATGGATAAGATATCTCTACACAACCCAGATGGATCCCTCATCAGGAGACTGCCTGCTCCAATGATCAATGATTATCTGACAATTTACAATTATCACCTTATCTACACAACACGATTAACAAAAAGGTTGGTATGTGTAGACTACTATGGTGCCAGTGTATTCTCAGTAGACATGACCAGCAACATGCAGAGGGATGGGTTGCCTTCTGGTGTGTGCTGTGACAGTGATGGAAGCATCTATGTTGCTGTTGTTGGGAGATATCCAACAGGTGATATTCTGCATTACAGTCCTGATGGCAAGTACATTGGTTGTGTGATCAAGGACTGTGGACATCCATGTGGCATGACATTCACATCGGATGGTGATCTGGTAGTGGCTGCTGAAAAGTCTGTACAGGTCTATTACCGCATGTGAGGACAGACTAATTACACCCAGGGAATATGGAAAAGTATAGGAAATTAAATCAGCAACACCCGTTGAAACTAAAATTCTCACGGTATCCGAAATATCCAAAACCTCTTTTCCTAACACAAACAGAACTGAAATTGGGAAATACTGGTATTCCCCGCATAATCAGTTTCCCTGCATAATTTATTTCTTCAGTTGCTGATAACTGAAGGATTTCATATGCATAATTACTTGGTTACTGCAGACTTTCTTTGCCAATTACATGTAATAGCTGTAATCGTAAGCATAGACTTCCATTGTTAGTTGCCAGTGCCTTAAATATCAGCACTCATCTTGGAAGTCAGGTCAAATCCCATCATGCAGTTGTACATAATCCACTCACAATGTATAACACTTGTAACCAACCATCATTGCCTACCGTTTATTATGCCAAAGTTTTCCCATAAAATATATTACAACAAATGATCTTATAAGGAGAGGGAAATAAGAGGTAGAATATACTCAATTTTGAGAATCAAACAGTGATAGCCATCACAAAAATAGAAATGATGTACTTTATGTTCAAAGCTTGGTAATTGTCACATTTAGTTGATTTTATTACTGCCCTTTTAATTTAAAAAATCATTAACATTGCAGATTCATTGGAAATAATTGGATAACTGATTATCACTGGTTCATCAATCTTGGATAAAGGCTTTGTAAAAAAAAATGTGTCAATGCAAAGATTTTTTTTATTCTCCCTGTACAGACAGCCGCAGCTTTCTTTTAGGGAAAGAAAAAAGTCAAGCTGCTGTTGATTTGAATGCAGTAAAATAGTGTGGCAATTCGTCGCAGAGCTGACAAACCGACGAATAAGCGAAAACCTTGTTTGGAGTAATTCGCGTTTGAAGTTGTACACTTCTCCGGGCGCCGTATTTTACCCTTAATGTTTCGATAAAAAAAACTTTTAGTATACATTCTGAATAAAATATGAAACTAAGTATCCACCAGGTCACTTATTTAATCAGAGAAGTTGTGCGATATGATTTTATTTGACCGTAAACGCATTCGTCAGTTTGTCAAATTACATTAATCTGCAATATCCGGTTGTTCTTCACACTGTTTGTATGCTATTCGTCAGTTTGTCGGATCGCGCGTGCACGCACGCGCAATCCAAAAAACTGACGAATAACATTCGTTGGTACTTTGAACGCACACCTTACATAAGCTGGTTACCAGCGAAATGTTTGTATGCTATTCGTCAGTTTGTCGTATTGCGCGCGCACGGCGCGCCAATCCGACAAACTGACGAATGACATTCGTTGGTACTTGGAACGCACACCTTACATAAGCTGGTTACCAGCGAAATTTCGTATTCGTCACTATGTCAAATTATGGATTTGTTTTTGTGAGTGATTCGCCACAAGGGGCGCTTTGAATCTCAAAATCCAGACAAATATTAAGAATTTTGGCATAAATACTTGAAAGAGCAACCTCCATAAAGCCTAAAAATAACAAAAAATCGAAATCGCCAAAATGGTCGATTCGCCGGTTTGTCAGCTCTGCGACGAATTTATCTGCACATAATCGTCGCCATTTTGACAATGTGACAATCAATGACGAAGCAATTTGAGATTTTTTTATATTCTAACTGTACATAATTCCAAAATGTTTAGACACAAAATTGTATAGTTCATTAATAAGGCTAATTACACAAAGAGGTGAATGTGTGACAACTTTTTTTCTTTTCGTTTTGGCGAAATTGACAAATCCCTATCCGTCACTTAGTCTCATTGATTTTATACGTGTACTATATTTAAATGTATTTAGCCTGTATAATTTGCATTTTGATAACGTGAAGAATCTGCATTCTAAATTGTATAACTTTTATACATGCACACACAACGAATCTGTGTACAAACACAATGCTACGTACCTCTGACATTTCCGTAGCATTTCCGTTTTGATGAAGTGATAAATATCTTTTATGTTTTCTAATTAAACAAGCTTTCATGAAAACGGAGACAATTTTGAGCTATTCAACTAATGGGCTATCGCATCAGTTATATATTTATCAAGTTTAAAGAGAAATCGTTCAATTTCAAACATTATTTTCTCAAAACTTGGTTTTGCAGCTGTGAGCAAAGATTAGTGACTTTGTCAAAACGGTGACAATATAAACTTAGGTTAAAGGTAAGAAATAGAGGACATTTTTGTATTAACTTGAAACCCATTCTGTAAATAAGCATTCAAGTGGCTTTACATTTCTGAACTTAAGAACTTCT